GGAGGAGGGGCGGGGCGGAGACCGGCCAATGGCGAGAGGGAGAGGCGGGGACAGGGGCAGAGGGGGCGCGAGAGGGAACGAGGATCCCAGATCCTCCCTGCCGGAAAAGGACACGGAAGAGGCTGAGGCCGAGACGGGGCCGGGCGCCGCGCCGCCGGCAGAGGGCGCGAGAGAGGAAGAGGAAGGGAGGAGGAAGACGAGGGCGAAGAAGGAGTGGGCGACGGCGGAGCCCACCGTCGACAGCTGGGCTCTGGGGGTGCTGGTGTACTGTCTGCTGACTGGCTGCTTTCCCTGGGAGCAGACCTGCGCCTCGGACCCCCTGTACCGGCGCTACCGCCGCTGGTTCGAGGCCGAGGAGGGGGGGGGCAGGGAGAGGGCGTCCCCGGGGGGCCGATTTTACAACCCGTCAGCGGCGGAGAAACGGGCCGACAGCTCCACCCCAGTCGGGGGCCTCCCTGCGACGGAGGTGGGGGGGGAGCGGGGCCGGCGGCGGGGGGACCCCGAAATCGAAATCGTCCCCCCGCAGTTCGTCGGCTTCACGCCTCTGGCTCTGGCCCTCTTCCGCGAGCTGCTGAACCCCGACCCCAGACGCAGGGGGCTGCCCGGCGAGGCCGAGAGGTTTCTGGGGGAGCCCTGGCTGAGAGGCAGGGGTGCGCCGGAGCAGGGGACCAGGGGGGGCGGGGAGAAGGAAGCTGGGGGGCAGGAGGGAGAGGTAATGGGGTTCAGCACAGGGCTCCGGACTGGGAGCAAGTGGAGCCAGCAGTGAGGGTGGAGGGGGAGGGGCGTCACTCTCGTTGTTTCAGTGCCGGAGCACAGAGATGCAGTTCCCCCGCCGAGCCTGTGGAGACGGTGGGGGCGCTGTTTCAAACGGGAGTCTGCTGTGGGGCTATCCGTGGGGTGTGGGTGTGTGCCGTGGGCTTGTGTCCATGTAGCTGGTCCCGTGTGAAACCGCTGCTTTCTTCAGCGGAATAAATCCCGCCTGCAACAAAGACCAGTGTTCTCAAGTTTTTCATTTCAATCTGAGCAAGCTCCTGAACTGGCTAACAGCCCATGACTCTCCTGTTGTCCAGTCAGTCAGTCAGGGTCACTGTGCTGTAGTGTCCAGTCA